AGCAAAGGGCATCGCTACTAGGAGCAAGGACGCTACTAGGGGCTCCTGGCCTTGCTACTAGGAGCAAGTAGCTACTAGGAGCAAGGTGTTCTCCCTTCCTCTGCGTTGCAGCTGAGGTCCTTGGCCGCTGTGGAGAGGATCGGTCGCTGCGACTGCCGACCGGTGCCGACGGTTCGACGTATTTTCTGGTCGCATTCGGACGCATTCGGGTTACGGTGGTTACGGTACCTTGGTTTTGAAAGATGGTCATTAATAGCTAAACTGTATTAGACTATATTAGACCTTTACTTTCTACGTTTTCATTTTCTTTGTTTCTAATAGCGATGGCCTCCAACCTTCATGGTTTTGAAAGACGGTCGTAAGTAGGAGCCTTCTTAGACAGGGCCGAATGGGGTGAGATAGGCCATCCCTGAGTTGAGTCTTACCATAAGTCTCAATAACTCACCTTTGGTGGGAATGACGCCGAATTCTTTCGGAAATTTTGAACATGGTGAGAGCCATTGAAAAGCCATGCCGTTCAATTGAGTATCTCACAATTGGCATGATGTTCTAAGAAGCTGTTAAGGCCTTTTGGTTTGGTCTACCCCATATACTCAGCTCCAGCATCGACATGGGAGAACCGGGATGACTTAAGCATCAGCTCCGAGTGTTTGAGGAACTGGATCCTGTCTTTGGATATCTTGGATAGCATGCGCAGTGCCAACGTGCAGCCTGACTGTGCCTTGGTAGCGGCAGCTCGAATAGGTACTCAACATAGAGAGATTTCATAGGGTCGTACAGCCACTGTCACGAATCAGGAGAGTCACACCATTCCTTCTCATATACAGGCTAGAATCTTCTGACTGGGCTTTTCCTTCACTTGGGTACCTTCAAAGCCGCTCCCTTCGGGCCATCAATGCTTTGAGGGAAGCTGTTGGATTGGATGGCTGACGGAGTCCCAGTTCTGAGGTTTGTGCATCTCATCCATCTTGGATTCCACCAAGACTGAGCTCCAGACGGGCCAGACTGTGGGGACTGCCTGGCGGGTGGCCTTGTTCGTTGGAGAAGAATTCTGTGAGGACATTCGCTTGGCTTTGAGCTTCGGAGCTCTTCCAAAAAACCTTCGGATGCGAAAGGCCGAATTGCTTGGCCGTCTTTTCGTTGAAACAACCCTTTTGACAGCACAAAGAGCGCAGCGATGACAGATGTCCGATGTTGGACAAGAGAGTCTCAGCACTGGGTGCGGGTGCGGGACGACATCGGCTTGTTAGGAGCTTCAAGGCACAGCCCAAGACCAGGATCTCCTGGGCTCTGTGAATCTCCAAGCCCTTGGCAGCTTGGTCGGCAGCAGGTCAGGGTGCATTCCTCCAAGAGAGAAAGGCAGCCGGGGAAGGGGACCAAGACGGGGAAAGAAGCATGGTACTCTCATTCTTTTCGGCAAAGATCGGCAAAGTGTGGCTTCTACTTCGACTTCCGATGACTTTTCATTTCTCGTTTCGAGTGGCTCTCTACACTGCTCTTCAGTGAACCGAACTCCGTCCGATGTGCACCGGTGTCCTCGACTTCGCGGCCCAGGTGTGGAGCGTTGGACCTTGGCGCTTCAGCGGCTTCGGCACCTGCGCCTCGCCACGCTGCGGCCGCAGCAGCTGAGCTTCACGAGCGCCGCAGCTTCCGCAGCTTCCGGTCCGTCGGAATGGAAGCAGACGCTACAGACATTGCAAGAGGCACAGGCGCGGACCAAACAAACACGTCTCTTTTCCCACCGAGACGCGAAGCCACACCAAACAGGATCAAACCACGACACACCATGAAAGGTCTAACCAAAAGGAACCAACTTATACTTATACACTAGTATACACTAATTGAGGTTGCAACACGAAAGGGGAACTGAACAACGAGATGTGTCACGAGATGTGTTGCACTGGTCGGGACTGTGCGTCTCCCGAGGACTGGGCAGTGGATCCCAACAACTCACTCCTCAGCTGCTGCGCATCTCACTGGCGCGTCACGTGGGAACTCCTCAAAAGTGCTGCCAGATCCCAGGTGCGGTGAGGAACCCCGCAGTGAGAGATGAGACAGTGTATTCTTTGCTTTTTTTTAAATCTTCATCGACTCTTCACCAGGCCTGCAGGCTAACTAAGCCGGTCCGCGTGCGTTGTTTGGCCAAGAGGTACCCTCTCGCAGCCCCACAGAAAATGGCAACAACCACTGTCACGGTCGTCGATTTTGAGCGGAGAAAACCGCGGAGATTGGTCGAGAAAGCGGGAAACACACACATGTCGTTTTACACCGTCCAATGTTGACGCAGCCAACATTGCGGGGATTAGAAGTGAAGAACCGAACACTGCAGGATTCTTTTGTGCATTTTTCCCTGCGTATTGAAGTTTCGTGGCCTCCAGTTTCCAAGAGAGGTACAAGAGTGTTTCCGGACAAACTGGATGGGCCAAAGACCACTTGCGATCGAGAAAGGGAAAGGTGGTCAGGCCAGACATGAGTGACATGGGGGACTTTCTCAGTTGATCGAAATGTGATTGGAGGTGCAGATCTACACCAGCTATTTCAATGCATGCGCAGGGACTTTTGCATCAGCTTCCTTGTGGGATGAAGCCCTCGACATGATGCAGAGCCTTAGCTGCCAATGCTGTGTTCTAGACCTTGCAGGGTTGCGTTAGGTCTCAATGGTGGGTGGGCTGCGCATGATAGACATTCTTTGATTTGCTTCCTTTTCAATTAAAGCTGTTTGCTTATCACTGCTTTCGCAAGGGTCTATCCACTGCTTGATTGTTTGCTCCCATTGCATTCCCTCCTGTGTGGGGTTTTAACCGACACTTGATTTGTTTTGCAGGTTTGAGATTTGCTCTTGTAGAGGCTTTTACTACCCAAACAGTTTTGTTAGATGCCGTCCAACTTTTGATAGGATGAATACTGAATACTATCTATGTTCACAAGCCTGAGCCTGACTTTGTATTTCTTATGCCAGGGCAGCTGGAAGGGTGCTTCTCCATTGACAGTGCATGTAGAATGAAACGCGGGATCATGATGATTGGTGCAGCACATTGAAATCTCTCATGCCTTTTCATGTCGCCCGGAGAAGTGCCAAGATGATCTCTGTCCTCTCTGTCCTCTCGGCTTTTCCGCGAGCCGCGAAAGGCAGCGCATGTGTTGCGTCATTCGCCACAGGAGGCTCTCCTCGCGCTCCTTGGAGCCAGATGGTGTGAGCTTTCGCTCCCTGGTCAAAGGCGAGTGACGCCGCGACCGGGGACGCACGTCCGGCGTGAGCTGAGCATTTTCTTGATTCTTCCCTCAAGGGCAACATGCTGAAGCCAGGAAGGCAAGCGTATTAGAGCGTCTTAGTGTCTTCCCTGTGGTGTGAAGTCTTACGAGTCCAGGAACGGATCCGATTACCCACGCACGAGTCCTTAAGCACGCTGCTTCAGTCCTTTTCTTCGCTTGCGCGTAGGCGCCTGGGAAGAAGCGCTAGGCTTTCACTCGAAATCTTTGGACATCTTGGAGATCAACGCATTGGCCCAAAGCACTGGCCCAAAGCACTGGCAGCGATGCTTGGAGGCGTTCTGGCTCTATCCACTTGTTGCAGTGCTCAAGTAAGTTTCCCTTACATAAGCACCTAGAAACCAAATGAATAGTGCGAGCGTGAGCTATCCTGCGTTCAGTTGCTAGAAGCTAACTAGTCGTCCTTACTTAATTAAGTAGGTAGTCTCCACTGAATCAAGTAGGAGCGGGCAAGAAAAACAAGCAACAAACAAGAAAGACACACAGTTGACGGCGCTCCTCACTGCTGACCCGTTGGGTCCAAAGTGGACTTCGGATCCATGTTTGGATCTATACGCGAGTTCAGACCTTGTCAGGTCTTTGGATTCTGTGTGGCACCGATTGTTCACTTGCAAATGAAGAAAGCATTGAGGAATGAACAAGAAGTCATAAGCAGTCAGTGTTAAACAATGTTAAACATTCGTTTCCCACCTGACAATGAGGAGGCCATCGCTATTAGAATTGGAACGCTTTTTAAAACAACCCCTGGCATCGCTACTAGGAGCAAGGACGCTACTAGGGGCCTGTCCGTGTCCACCTGTAAAAGTTGCGGAGCCTCGGGCTGCGGACAGGTCCTCTTCCAGGCGAGGTCACTTGGAGTTGAACCCGACTCAGTTCCTTGGTCAATGCGTTTGAATCGACTCTTTTTGGGACGGGAGGTGATTGGATGTATGTTCCCATAGCACAAGGATTGGAATGGAACTGTAACAACAAAGGGCATCGCTATTAGGAGCAAGAAGCTACTAGTAACAAGGGCATCGCTATTAGTTAACTTTCCCTAAAAATCTAGGAACCAAATCATTAGTGCGAGCGTGAGCCATCCTGTATCCATACTAGTAGCTACCTAGCTACTACCAGCTACCTCAGTTCCTTACTTAATCAAGTAGGTAGTCTCCACTTAATAAAGTAGGGAGGAGGGGGAGAGAGCGGGGTTAACAAAAATCGCTGCTAGGAACAAGAAGCTACTAGTGGTCGAAATTCTGAAGACTGGGCTGATGCTGAAGCCTCGAAGAAGCAGATCGACGTGAAGACCTACGGGGTACGGTTCTTGTTGCCCCCCACATTACAACTTCGCAGCCTTTGAGGTCTCCCGGCTCCTGCAATTGAATGCACAATCATGTAGCACCTCGCACCTTGGCAGATCAACGTCCACATCGGAAGGCACAGACTAAGGTGAAGGACCCTCCCGGAAGGACTCACATCAATTTGCTTAACTTCACCTTATGGCCTCCACCAAGCATTGGAGATTGGTTTCAACCAATTTGTAGTGTAAACTTTCCTTGGCCTGGCACATCATGGCTGCAATCGTTGAAAGCGAAACTTATATAAGTTGACAAACTATTCGGCGCTGTAGGGTTCTTCAGCATGCCATTTGCACACAGAGAGCATGAATCCTCCCATGTGCCACATGTCTCGGTGGTAAGAAGTGGCTTGTGGTTTGTGGCTTCTAACCCGAGGATAGAGAAATGGCAGCTATCCATGTCCATTGTGGCCAATGCCGAGGGCAACACCAATATTTTGTATCAGGCCGCCTGGCAGCTGTAAAGAGACACAATTTGCTCAAGCCCGAGTCCTCCTTTGTATGGGACGGTCATCAGTTTGCAAGGCAACGAAACTACAGAAAGCCTATGTCAAATGCAAAGCAAGTGATTAAGATCCGACTGTGCGTGGTTGCATTGGTTTCTCCAAGGTTGGAATCTCTCTGAGCCTATCATGAACGCCTCTTTCTCAAGAACGACACGCCAAGAACGCCTGACTTGCTTTCTCGCTACGTCGAGGTGACGACGGCGAACGCCCAACGGCGAACGCCCAACGGCGCGAAGCGGCGAAGGGCGGAGCATCGATCCATTCGAGCGGAATCGGTTGGAGAAATCGACTGACGACGTCGTCGCGCCTTGAAACGTTTCCACTCTTCAAACCTGGGGAGCACGAGTGTGCTGAGTCGATGATACGATATTAAATTCATCAGGTCTGCTTTTTAGTGGTCTCAGGCCACATCGGTTCAACGGGAAGCAACTCGCAGTTTTTGGGATTTGCCACTTGGGACCCGTGTATGTTGAAGTCGGTCTGGTTGGTTTTAGAGTGAGCACACACCAAGAACCATTTGCTTCTGGCCCAAGTGCTATGTGGTAGAGTACAGACAGAGTGGGGGCCTTAGTTTCTTGATGTTTCTTGGCAGCTTGAACCTGAACAACAGTTTGCACAAAGGATGGGCTCAGTATGAGGTCTACTATATAGTATTGCAGGATTGTCTTCAAGACATAGCATTAAGATGCAAAAGTTGAGACCGTGATTTTGTGCTTGAGAAGTTCCTGGTCTAGGAATCAGGTTCCCTGTTGAGCGCACCAAGCTTTTTGCAGACATGCATAGCTAGATCAAGTTGAATATAGACAACAGCTTGAAAAGAAGTTTAGTATGCTGCTGACACTGCTTATCCATCAAAAGATGGCCATGGGGTCCCCCACACGATGGTCGTTCACAGGGACACACGGATGCCTTGGACGTTTAAGGTCTTTCGCAGTATGGACAATGGCTACCACTCCCCACAGGTCTGGGAAGTGATCGGAGGCGCGTGGAGAGTGTCAGGTCTGGAGGGTATTCAGGGTGATGAGTTTTGGAGAGGCCCTTAGTAGCTTGAAGACTCTGTTTAGAGAGAGGTTTTCCTAGTGAGAGCAGCCTGTTGTTTGTGTGGACTGGTGAAGTCTTTCAAGCTCTAAACAAGATGAAGCCTGGTCAAGGTACGTTATCGCTCAAACCTCACACTTGAGACCGTCTCAGGGTCCTTTTGAGCGACTAAAAGGCTGATAGGGATCTGCACTTTTGAGGACAGTTTGCCAGATTTCAATTGTATAGAGGTGCTGTGTCCCTTCGCTTCATTCACTCACTTCAACTGCCCAGCCTCAATTTCGGTAGAGCGGGAAACTGATGGTGCGTGTTTCACTGTGAAGCAGAATGGAAGGCACTGTGCCGGAAAGGCATAAAAGCCAGCGCTAGTTCAGGAGGTTCGAGGGCATCACTAGTAACTTGGAGGCCATCACTATTAGGTTTGAGGCCATCGCTAGTAGGTTGGA